TATGATTATGAAAATAGATTGTAAAACATTGGTTTTGAGTGATTTTTCAATTAATCAAAGAGTGAATTTTGGTTATTTTGTTTTGCATTCTTGTTTTCTAAACTTTAGTTTTTAGAAAAAACCGGTTATACCGGTCAAAATAAACCGGTTGAACCGAATAAACACACATGAAAAAGAACAATTTACATAATAAACTTTGGTGATTATTTTTTCATATCTATTTAGTTTTCTCTAAATAAAAACATATGGTAAATGTTATAAAGTTTTTTGATGTGCTTGTATTCATTTAAAATTATATTTCGTTACGGCATTATACTTTATTTTCTTTTTGACGTATATGGATTGATGTAAAACACTAAAACTTATGGTTATGTGTTAGTTTAATGTATTTGGATTCATCTACAACTTATTTTTATGTGTATTTTTAATGTTTGAATTTGTAGACATCAAATTCATGGTTTATATATGTATGTATGTGTAGGAAAATAGAAAAAAACATGAAAACTATAGAAACCGGTTGACCCGGCGGTCGAACCGGTTAAACCGGGAACCGGTCACCATACCGGTTCAACTAAAAAACCGGTTTTTAAAACATTGTAAAAAAGTGCTAATCACAAGAAAAAACAAAGATAATACCAGAATATTACAATATAACCACATTATGTAATTCGCGAAAATGATATTGTGAATTTGTGATCTATTTTACCACTAACTTTGCAAGATGCATCCTCCAATGCTGGGTTTCGATACAATTACCATAGATTCTGTAGAGTGTAAGGTGTCAGTTGAACCTTTATGAATCTTTTGGTGGTTTATGCCATAAATATAATGTATGATTAGAAACGACATATTAGATGAAATAGATTTAATTATAAAATAATCTAAATAAACAAGGATAAAAATATTTAATTGTTAAGAATATTTTTGAAAGACGTTTTGCATTCTAGAATGTTTGAGAGTATATTGTGTTAAATGAAGACTAATAAGGATAGTACATGTTTTTTGAACAAATTACTAAAATCATTCTCTGGTTTGATCAAAATTACATGTTTGGTCCCTAATTTTTCTTTTGCACTCGAATCATTTCTATAGTTTGATTTTATTACGGTCTTGGTCCCTATTGAATGTAAAAAGACTATCATGTCCTTGTCTATTATTTTTTTAATATGTTAATTTTTGAAAAAAAAATCTTTATATTATCAATTAATTAATTTGGGTCATACAAGAAATAATGAAATGTTATTAGAAATACCAAGAGCCACTCCCCCCCCCCCCCCCCCCCCCCCCGACATGTCCTTCCCTCCAACCTTCGTCTTCTCCGGTTAATCTACCGGTGCTCTTGTCGGAATCTGTAAATAAACACCTCAAATCCTAACCTGGAATCTATTAAAATCAAATCCTAATATGAAACTCAAAGCTAAATCTAAAACCTGAATCTGAAACTGAAACCAAAACTCAAAATCAAAACTTGAAATTAGACTCAATATCCAACTTGAAGTATGAAACTCCAAAATCAAAACCTAAAATTGATCTGTCTACTGATGGTATTGTAAACCAAAGCTCCAAATTCCAGCTGCAATTACTACTACACTACCGTTACAATCATTTCCAGCGTATACAAATATTGAAGAACAATTTTAATAAATGTAACCCCCTCAACCCAAAGAACCACATATAAAAGACGGAGAAAAATTTCTTACAATTCGACCCTCAATTGTATTCTTATCTTTAAGAACAAAATCGAGAACATAAGTAATCCATTGACATCGTCGTACTTGTTGAAGTAATCGAAGATGGTTTCCTCGGTGGTTTCCCATGTTAACCCCCCAATAATTAACTTCCCTTCGTATGAATCTATTGACCCCTTTTATTTCTTGCACAGGAAACGTGGAAGGTTGAGTTGCAGATTTTGAATGTAAGGTTAGAAGAAGAGACGGATAAGAGAGGTGTGGAGAGGAACCATCTCTGGGTTGTTGGAATGCTTGACCTTATGGTAGAAGACGATACATGGAAGAGAGGTGGGGAGAGGAACTCATCTTTGATTTCAAAAAAAGACCTACTATAACTTCCCTTCGTCTGAATCCTTTGTTAGACTGCCGAGGAGCATAGAAAATCACCCAAAAACTACCACCGACACCACCATAAAATCACCCAGAAAACTTTCATCGATCATCAATTAGGGTTGAAGATATTTTGAGAATGTTTTCGAGAACGGATCTGACGGACGGACCAAGGGCGTTGACGTAACTGTTCCTTATGAGGAGCCTGTACACGGAAACGAAACAGACGTGGTGGTGGGCCGGTGGCGGTGGAGGAGTCGGGGTCGGCCATGGAGACAGCATTGGTGGTGGTAGCTGATCGTGCATACGAGAAGATGAAGTATGAGGAATGGGTAGGGATGAGATAGAGTAGGTGGACCTATTTAATTAGTTAAGAATATAAATATAAATAACTAATAAAAGACAAAATTGCAAAAATGGTCCATGTGGTATGCATTTTTTTGGGATTTTAGTCCAAACCATGGCTTTTTTGGATTGGTGGTCCTTTTAAGCTAGTTTACATGCAGTTTTGTCCCTGTCCAAACTAAAAAGACCATTATACCCTTAATGAATTTATTTTTCATTTTTCTTTCACTTTTTAAAATTATTATTATTATTAAATATAAAACCGGGTCCACCTCTCTCTCTCTCTCTCTCTCTCTCCACCATCAACATCCTTTTCCTTCAAAAGAAAAACCCGAAACTTCAAAATCGATTCAATGGTTAACCATAATTTACAATCTCTACCACCACTCCATCTACCTTGAAGATCAAATATCAGTTTAGAGGGATAAGATGAAAATCTGGTGTTTCTAGTATAATGGCGAAAGATGTGCAAACGAGAATGATGAAAGAGGATACAAATCCTTGGTCACCTGCATTTCCATTACTGAAGGGCGTTGTTATCGGATTTAACAATCGAGTTAGGGTTTCTTGAACTAGAAAATAGAACTCGGGGTTTCCTCAACCGCAAATAACAGATAGTAAAAGTGTATTGCAACCTGCAACCAAATCAAAATTAAAAATTGTAGCCTGGCCGTCTCAACCTCTTTTCTCGATGAAAGTTGCGTTGGACTTCACTATGGAGGAGAATGATAAGAAATTGAAAATATCCTGCAAGATCTAGGGCTCGAAAGCAAGTCAATTTCTGTTACTATATTGTTCATACGGTGATTAGAGAACCAAAATTAACCATGAGGGATCTATGGAGGGAGTTGTGAGTTTTCAGTGATGGTGGTGAAGGTGGCGGTGGTGTTTGTGTGTATGTGTGTGTGGTTAGAAAGAAGATGAACCAAAAATCCAAACACACTTGTGTTTGTTCTTAAGACCCACTGTGAAGAAATCTATGGTTAGAGAGAGAGAGAGAGAGAGTTGATAGTCGATCGTTGTTTGTTCTTTTTGCAGGTTCTATGTAAGATTTGCGATGGAGACTTGACAGATGAACTCAAATGTGAAACAATCACTTCCTTCAATGATTTTGCAAGCTCTATGTAAGATTTGCAATTTTAGAAGTTTTAAGCTTGAATTCCCAGCAACAGTTCTTCTTTCTGTCTTAATCATATGGGTTACAGTCTTCGAGAGAGGGAGGCTAGATGCATAGATCGAAGAATGATCCCAAATTGTTTGGTCTTGAGGTGTATTGTGAATAGAGAAAGAAAAACCGAAAATTGTGTGTGGGTTTTTTCTTCATCTGGGTTTCGAGTTGCAGGTATTCCGATTCCATTTCTGACAAGAATAGTTTTTGATGAAGAAGTGTGAAGAAGATGAAGATAGGTCCTGCAAATGATTTGTAAGAGAGAGAGAGAGAGAGAGAGAGAGAGGCGGGTCCCATAATTTTTATTAATAAAACTTTAAATTAAATAGTAAAAACCATAAAAAAAAATGTATCAGAAGGGCATTTTAGTCTTTTCAGTTTTCTGAGGGACCAAAAACGCAACGAAACTAGTTCATAAGGACCACCAATCCAAAAAAGTCGTGGTTTGGACTAAAACCCCAAAAAAATGCATACCACAAGGACCATTTTTGCAATTTTGTCCTAATAAAATAAATAAATACAAAATGAAAAAGAAAAAGACAGTATAGTCTTTTTATATGTAACAAAACCATAACCTATGGATGGACTGAGTGCAAATAAAAAAGTTAAGGACATGTTATAGGGACGATTCTAATAATTTGTTCTTTAATTTTTTTTGGGATCAATGACTTCATATGTCAAACTTAGATAAGTACTCATTGTGTCGAGCTATAGGAGCGAGCCCTTATAATTGCAGCAACTTGTCATTTGGAAGGAATTAAGGACAGTGAGATTGTATTGGACAAAGTGGTAATCTAAAAATTTCATAATTTCATTAAATTATATTTTTATACATAAAATAAAATGATATATTTTTTCATTTTTTTGTTTGATTCAGTTTTTATAACAAAAAATGCAAATCGAAACTTGAAAATTCAAGTTTTTCAAATACTAAAACCAAACTGTCAGGTGTTACAAAGCAGCTAACCTTCTTTGTTTGATTTTGATTCTTCTTCATGATACTTAGATTAACAAAAAGTAAGATTAAAATCGTTATAGAAAAAGGTAATTTGTCTTTGATTTTATGTATAGAATTTGAGATAAAATCAATAATTCGGGTTTGAAATATGAAATCAGTTTTTCGATTATAACATACCATTGTATACCTAATTTACAGACTATTATTATATACATGATATATCCTCTTTCATACGATGAATACTTAAGATGTAAGAGTAAAAGAAACTCCCTAGTAAATTATTGAAGCAAAGGCTACAAGGTGTAAAAAACCAAATAGAAAAAAAGGTTGTTTCCGAAAATAAAATCTGACAAAAATCAAAGTGTTAGTATTATATATCGGATAATAAATGCTAGTCAAAACTAAAAAAAGAGTAGACGACTTTCATAATTAATTCCACAACTGCATACCTCCCCGGAAGATATCTAGAAACTAGAAAGAGAAATTGAGAAGAAAAATTCTAGAGAGAGAGTAAACTAAAGAAGAGTCAAACCCTTTAATCTTGTGTTCTTATTGCTCTTTTGTCTTTTAAATCATTTTCGTCAATCAAAATCCAAATCTCGAATTTTCAATTCAACCCAAATTCCCCAATTGGCAAAATAAAAAAACCCCATCAATTAGCGTGTTCTTATAATCATATCATAAGCCTTCATAGCAACGAATCATCGTTCCAATATTCTCAACTCTTTATCTGTGTTCTTTCTTCTCCTTTTTGCGGTGATACATAGCTCGCATCTCGTTCATCTACTTCGTCGATTTCTTTGAATTTCGGATGTGGTTGGTTACACTGCGATGTTGAACAATCAAGCGGATTTTTCAGGTAAAACAACGCAGTAGAGTAGTCGGAATTGTGTGAAATGGGAGGGGTTTGTACTGGTGGAACGTTGAAGCGGAGCGTAGCGGCGGAGTATGGCGGTGATAAGGGGATTTTGGGGTTTTCAGGGAAGTTGAAATCGGCGACGAGTTTTAGTCGGCAGACGAAGAAGAATGATTATGATGATTCAGGTTTATATTCTTCTTATTCACATCATGATAATGATGATGATGATGATGATGATGTTTATCATAGGAGGATAACTCCTTATGATTCTGGCGAACTGATGTTCTCCATTTCAAGAGAATTGAAACCATCTACTCCAGCTAGGGTTGGGGCTATCAAGGTCTGTATGTTCAATCTCTCTCTCTCTCTCTCTCTCTCTCTCTCTCTCTCTCTCTCTCACACACACACACACACACACACACACACACATATAAGATCATCTGAAATTGGAACTTTAGGATGACTGTTAAATGTTGATTCCTGCAATTGAAATTGAAAAATGAAAAGGGAAATCTAGAATTGAAGATGAATGAAAAAAAATTGGTTTCTAGATTTGAAACAAAACCATATACAAGTTCTCTATAATCTTGTATACATCCAAAAACATATTCATACAACTTCTCCGTAATCTTGTATATATGACATGGTGACATTATTTTTTACAAATTTGGACTCAAAGCTCCATTATAAACTTCTAATGTTGATTATTTGTCTAAAAGTTAAAGATTTAACCAATAATTCATATGATAAAAAAACCATTTTAAGGTGTTTCTTTACAAAAAACAATAATTGTACTAAAGTTGTGTTCTTGATCTTGTATTTTGATAGGCACCTCATGTGAGCACATTTCTTGGAAAAGTGGGTAGTGTAGGTCTTGAAGTGTTGGATACATTAGGAAGTAGTATGATAAATTTGAATGCTAATAGTGGATTTGTATCAAATATGGCTTCAAGAGGAAATAAAGTATCAATCCTTGCATTTGAAGTAGCTAACACCATTGTTAAAGGCTCCAATTTAATGCAATCACTTTCTCAAGAAAACATCAAGACTCTTAAAAAAGAGATTTTGCATTCAGAAGGCGTTCAGCTTTTAGTTTCCACAGATTCAAAGGAGTTGTTACGTATTGCAGCTTCTGACAAGAGGTAATATTTTCATTTTCATCTTCTTCTTCCTTTATTGTCTCATTTAAACCAATTTTTATATTTGTTTTTATAAATTATGATATGGTGTTTTGTTATTGTAGGGAGGAACTTGATGTGTTTTCTAGAGAGGTTGTGAGGTTTGGGGATATGTGTATAGATCCACAATGGCATAATTTGGGTCGGTTTTTTTCGAGGTAAAAATCCGATGTTTATTTTGACATTTTTTTTTATGAAATTGGAACTGGATTTTGACTTTTTGACTGTTGATGAATCAGATTGGATACAGATCTGTTAACAAATCAACAGCTAAGAGAGGAGGCGGAAATTACTATGCAAGACTTGACCAATCTTGCTCAATATACTTCGGTAATTTGCTTATATTTATTCGATATACATTGCAAAATTTACAGGTTTATTCAGTTTACATCACAAAGTTCAAAGCTTTATTCTGTATACATTCACAATGTTAAAAGAATTTTTTGATATACATTACAAAGTTAAAAACTTTATTCGATATGTATCAATAAGTTCAAAGTTTTATTCCATATACATCACAAAGTTCAAAGCTTTAGTATCTTTATTCGATATACATCAAAAAGTTCAAAAGCTTTATTTGATATACATCAAAAAGTTGAAAACTTCAATTATCTGTTATTTCTTTTTCTTATGTTATTAGTTCCATAAGTCCATCTTTAGCTAGAAAAATGATGTAAGTTTTATTCATCAAGTAAAAGATTATATATCTTGTTTTGTTTGTTGTAGGAATTATATCATGAGTATCATGCTTTAGGAAGATTTGAACAAGATTACAGACGTAAGCTTGAGGAAGTTGAAGCCTTCAATCTTCCCCGAAAAGGTTAGACACGTATAATTATAGATAAAAAATAGTAACAATTTTTGTTATTAAGCAAGTTTCTAATTGTCTTTTTGCCTTTTTTTTTTCTCTATTATGGTGTTGATTATTTTAGTTAATATGTCATCTTTAAATTGTAGGAGAGAGTCTCTCAATCTTACATAGTGATGTAAAACATCAAAGAAAACTCGTGAGAAGCTTGAAAAAGAAATCTCTTTGGTCTAAAAGTTTGGAAGAGATTGTGGAGAAGCTTGTAGATGTTGTCACCTACATTCATCAAGCAATTGTGGAAGCTTTTGATGAAAATGGTATCAAAATCTTGTATTAAATATATTTCTTTATATAAAATTCAAAAGTTAGCCCATAAAACCCTTGATTAAACGATGCTATTTATTACTTTTAGATCCAAGTTCAACAATGAATGGCAAAGAGGCCCTGAAAAAGCCTGAAACATTAGGTGTTGCAGGTCTTTCTTTACATTATGCCAACTTAATCACTCAAATGGACAACATTGTAAGCTATTCTCCATTATTGTTCACATTTTTGTAATCATGATTTATTTTAGTTTAATCTTTAAACTAACATTATTGTGATTAATTATGATTATTATTACAGGCATCTCGCCCTATTTCATTACCTCCTAATATTAGGGACAATTTATACAACGGTTTACCAACAAATGTCAAGACAGCTTTAAGATCTCGCTTGCAAGCACTTGACACCAAAGAAGGGGTATTATATATGAAAATTAAAAGCAGATTATCTATATTTGAGTACAAAAACTTTGCATTGGTGATTCTTATAGAGAAAGTGTGTTGTTTCAGATGACAATGCCTCAAATCAAGGCAGAAATGGAAAAAACACTCCAATGGCTGGTTCCAGTAGCTACAGATACCACCAAGTATGTATTTAACAAGATATATAAACACCAATGCTTCAAACAATTCGATTTGTGTTCCTAATACTTTGAAATTGTTCAATTTTGTGTTTATAGAGCGCATCAAGGTTTTGGATGGGTGGGAGAGTGGGCAAACACATGGTAATAAGCTAATCAATTCTTATGCATATCGATTTTGGATGTCTTTCTCTTTCGTATTTGACCTAATTGGACTCGTTTTTTCAACAGCAATGATTTTGGGAAGAAGACAACAGGGAGCAACAATGTTATCCGGCTTCAAACACTTTATCACGCTGATAAACAGAAAATGGATCGATACATACTTGAATTAATCATCTGGCTTCACCGTTTAATAAGCCTTGTGAGATTCAGAGACAAGGTTCCAAAATACGTTCCTGCTCGATCTCCACCTCCACCGAGTAACAATGGCGTTGTCGTAGATCCATCTCGATTGAAAAATACTGGAAAGATTCAACGCATTCAGATCTCATTGGAAGATCGGAATCTTCTGGAGGAGGTGATGAAGCGAAGGATGTTGGTTCCTGGAATCAGCAAAAGTCAGGAATTCGTGATGGTGAAGAAGAACAGATTGAAGGGTTTTGCATCGAGATCGAGTCGAAGCATGGGGAGCTCGCCTAGGAGGGAATTAGGGTACACGAATGCCGATATGTTGGATGTTTTGGATGGATTGGGTACAAGTTTTTGAGCTCTTGGTACATATATATACATTTCAAGGTTAGATGGATGGATTGGGTACAACTTTTTGAGCTGTTGATACAACACATGCTTTGCATCTTAATTATATGTGTATATATCATATAATATAATCTTATATCGTAATACATACATGAGGTGGGTGTACTAAAAATTATATGAGATTATGTTGTGGGTTGATTTTTTTTTATTTGTCACACAAGATTCAATTTGTAACGATATATGATTATAGTATTATTAGGGTCAAACCTTAAAACTCAGTTTATACCAAGAATCATATAAAAAAAGAAGGGGAATGTGTATGAAAGATGGTTAGAAAATGAAGTTCATTTAAGACGAGTGGGTGCGGTCTAGGCCGTGCTTCCCCTGCCACATCATCACACACACCGCCCCCTGGGTGCGGTCCAGGTGCGGTCTCGGCCGCATTGCGGCCTTCCAGGGGTCTACTCCTTTCTCGATTGCGATTGGTTCTTCTCTTTACCGTTTTTAAACGATGATTTTTCAAATATATATATATACCACTACTATAAATATTTTATAAACTGCGACATCCCCATTTTCACGGCCAGAAAAGACCGATATTTTTTTGTTTATGCTTGTTTAAAAATCAGAGTAACATTTTAAATAAAAGTGTTGCGGAATTTGTCCCAAAACAAAATATGATAAAGATTTATCAAAAGCATTCCAAAGAAATGTATTTCATTAAAAGACTCGGGATGTCATGTTCGATACAGATCAAAAGCATAAACAGTACAACATAAGCCTTACTACATTATTTCGTATTTACAGACCTATAATCCCTTATCTCTCATCCAAACATCTATCCTCATGCGCCACTACCTGTAATACAAAAAAACTGAGTGGGTCAGGCTTGGGAGTCTGGTGAGCACATAGGGTTTTCAACCCACAATAAATAAGTTTATTAACTTTATCAAGCCAAACAAACCCGATTACCCATTCCCGTTATCCTCACTTTACGTCCCTAAAACATCTAACTCAAGGGACCTAGTCTAAGGACTTTCATCGGGGCTACAACACATGATTCGGGGATTCCTTAGCAATTCATGTCAAATAAGGCAACCATGTGGGGGATGGAGTACTGTTGGTAAACACACAGTTAAAATAAACACACAGTTCAAATAAATACCTACAGGTTGCGAGCCTGCTAGCGTTCCACTTGACTGTCTAGAATAGTCCGTGGTCGTCATCTATACTCCGCTAGATGACTGGATCATCAATAACATCTATAACGAGGTCTCTCATTATTTTATTTTGTCACACAGCAACTATTACATCTACCCATGTTTTACCCAACACATTTTGTAGATATAAAATACATATACAGTTTAAATCATTTAAAACGAGTATAAAATCGTTCATCCAGCATAGATAGCAAGTATACAGATAATATGCACACGTAGCACGTAATTTATATAAAAGACTTCATATCTATGTGTAAGATGAAAGTAACTATGCACTCACCTGTTAAAAATAGATTACTTATGATTAGGCCAACACTTCTTCTAACACCTTAGCTTTTCCTTCCAAAATTATATCTATATTTCCTTTAACTTTTCTTTTTGATTGAGTGTTATGATATCAACTAAAAGAAGGGGCTATTGATATTTATACTACAAAATAAGCAAGGCTTCCAAAGCTTCCGTCGAAAAAAGAAAAGAAAATAAGCTTAGTCATCCATACACGTATAAACTTCAATTAATAAAATGTGTATGAACATACTTATATATCCAACACTTATTATCCTTATCTTATCCCAAAATTGGAAAATATATGATCAACACGTATCATTCGTATTTAAGAAGTTGACTCGTCCATTTTGTTTTAAGATAAGTTTAAAACATTTATATTTCATTTGTAAGAAATATATATATATATATATAATATATATATATATATATATATATATATATATACGTTTTCTTTATATAATCATCATAAATCTTTTTAACTTAAATATCAATGTTTCTTGTTTTTCTTTTATTATTTATTTTATAAATATCATCATATATTTTGTTTTACATATTATAATATTTATAATCGTTAAATAACATTGTAAAATTATAATTGGGAACTATCATCGAAAAATAGGTGTAACACAAAAACATTAACGTTTTACTATTTGGGTTTACCCTTGAATGTATTTAGCCCAAATATATCTTATATAGTTTGACATTTTAGGGTCGTTACAATTTTCATTAAGATCACTAAGGCTAAAATCACTTTATCGTAAATTCACTTTTTACGTCATACAGCGTCGTGCCGATTCTGTCGCGAAACTTCGACATGTCATAACTTCTTTGTTATAACTCGGATTTTGATATTATTTATATATCCGTAATCCTTGTCACGCCCACTACAAGTTTCTTAATAGATATCGGCTTTATCTAATATTTATTTTCGACGCTCATTTTTATTCTTAATTAATTAAATCCTAGTAATTAAGCATAAAACACATAATACACATAATATTCACATAATTCCTTTTCATTTCTTCAAAATGAGTTACAAAGGTTAACCTAGACTACAACGTCAATATCAATGCCTAGCCTAGAAACACGGACGTTACATAAACTAACCAAAAAAACTCATCAACATTTTACCATCTTCAACATTTTACCATCTTCTCTCTTTTCAAACCTACAAAAAGTGTCATCCTCCAGAAATCCAACCAACAAAAAAACACCTACCAGAAAACCCACAACTCCAAGACGTTCACTCGATCAACCAGTTTATTCTCCTCCTTCCTACCACTACGGGGGTATGCTTTTCTATTTTTCACAACATATCCAACAACCACGTCCTACGCTACTATTTCCACAAACACAGCCACAATTTGACCAAGATTTTGATCCTTTTGATTTTGGTTCCCAACCAGAGTTTATTCCAGAAACACAATCACAATCACAAACACCCATTTCTGAATCTGAACCAAAAATTGTTCCACAAACTCAACCCTCTCAACCAGGAAATAAAAGAAAAGAGAAAGTAGAAGTTAAAGCGTGGTCAACCTCAAGAAGAGTTAGTAGTAGCACAATCATGGATTGACGTTTCAGAGGACGCGAAGACGGGAGTAACAAAAAACATGATCGTTTTTGGATGCGCGTTAGATCTCGATTCCATAAAGGAATGAACTTGGAACCATATCGTACTAAACATCAGGTGTACTCAAAATGGGGAAAGATGAACAAAGATGTGATGTTGTTTAACGATTTATATAACAACATGAAACAGCAATGGGAAAGCGGCGAAAGTGGCGAAGTGGTTTTGGAGAAAGCTTTTAACATTTATCAAAAAGAGCAAAAGAAGACTTTCAAGTTTTTTGAAGTTTGGAATCTACTCAAAACCAACAAAAAATGGGAAAACCTGAAAACAAGCGACGAACACATTAATAGCGGATCAAAACGGTCAAGAACTTCCGACTCGGAACACACTTCATCTGATGCTCGTGTTGGTTTTGACCTCAACGAAGATGAGCTCGTTCAAGTGTCACCACCCCCCGACCAATGGGAAGGGACAAACAAAAAACAAAGGCAAGGGCAAAAAGATAGAATGGATAAATTTTTGCAACTTGCTTCGGATAGAAAGAGTCGGAAACAAAAGGACAGCGACCTGCGTCGAATTTGACCGGGGATGCGCTTTAAGTCGTTTTGCAAATGAAGGAAGACGTGAAAAAACGTTACGCTAATCGTGGTTAATTTGTAGTTGTTTTCCAAGTTTTTAATTATTTGATGTGTGTGTGTGTGTTTTTTTTAAGTTGTACGTTTAAGCTTTCTAGTTTTTTAATTTCTAATTTCCTAGGATTTTTTTTAAGTAATGTAATGGTTTTTAATTTTAATTAATGAAATATTTTGTTTTTATTTAAAACTAAAAAATTTATTTATTTAAAAAATAAAAATAATTTAAAGGAGTGTGACACCACTCATTGGGTGTGGTATGAGACCACACTTTTGTGGTAATGGGTGAGGTGACGTCTACGTGTCAGTGTAGTTTAATGAGGGAGCACGGCACCACTCCCTCCAGCCTAATTTACGAGGCAAGTTGGGAACAAGTTTAATGACAATATTGTTTTTAACGAAGTTATGTGTAAACAGCCGAAATGGATTTTGAGCTAGATTGTGACCCGACATGTTTCCATCTTGAATGTGGAGTGGATTATAAAGAGATCGGTGCAAACATGGAAAAATCAAGGACTATAGAATAAGAGAATATTGTGTCTATTCCAACCTAGAAACTCCAAAAAAGATGTTGATTTAAAAATTAAATGTCCAAAAAATAAATATGTAGCACAAAGAAAAAAAATGAAAAATAAAAATAAAATTAACAATTAAACACCCAACATATAGAGATGCAGCACAAAGAAAAAAGTAAAAATGTAATGCTTCTAATAAAGTGTTGTATAACTATGTGCAATAAGGCTTATTAAAGGCATCAAAGTTGAAGTTATAAAAAAAAATACTCAATTTTGGATCAACAAATGGATTAAAAAAAAATGGAAGAAACATAGCATATATGTTGTATTGATAAATAATTAAATAATTTGTATTTTTTATATTTGTAGTTTTATATTTCATTTTATGATTATAATTTTGTTTATCCATTACATAAAATAATCTTTATATATATATATATATATATATATATATATATATATATATATATATATAGTTTTATAATTAAATAAACAATAATTTATTTGTTTCAAAATAAATAAAAAAACGTTATTAATAGAATAAAAGTAATTACATATTATATTATTTAAAAATTTGGTTAGAATTGGATTGTGAAAACTAATCATAGTTGGATTGCAGTAACTTCAATTCTGTTTCATCTCATTTCTTCCCACTTTTTAGAAGAAGATGAAGCCATCACATACCCGAAGAAGAAGACGATGCAGGAGAAGAAAAGCAGGAGAGTCAAGTCGCTCCTTTATTATGAGGTGTAACACTCTGTTCCGAATTGACTCCTAGTTTGAGGCGGTGGCTCGAAGGTCGGTCATTATAAGGATTATGGCTCTTGGGAAGGTAAGATCTAGTCCCTTTTGGGTGCGGGTGATGTATTAGAAGTGATCCAGGTGTTTGGTTCGTGTTTCGGAGCCTAGGGGTATTTCGGTAAAATGGCAGTTCGGGTTTTTGTGGAAACGGACTTTTGTTCGGAAGGTATTTAGGAATATATGA